CATGTGCACCTCCTAATCTTACTGCATGTGCACCTCCTAATCTTACTGCATGTGCCCCTCCTAATCTTACTGCATGTGCACCTCCTAATCTTACTGCATGTGCCCTCCTTTAAATCTTACTGCATGTGCGCCTCCTAATCTTACTGCATCTGCACCTCCTAGTCTTACTGCATGTGCACCTCCTAATCTTACTGCATGTGCACCTCCTAATCTTACTGCATGTGCCCCTCCTAATCTTACTGCATCTGCACCTCCTAGTCTTACTGCATGTGCACCTACTAATCTTACTGCATGTGCCCCTCCTAGTCTTACTGCATGTGCACCTCCTAGTCTTACTGCATGTGCACCTCCTAATCTTACCGCATGTGCCCTCCTAAACTTACTGCATGTGCCCCTTCTAAACTTACTGCATGTGCCCCTCCTAATCTTACTGCGTGTGCCACTCCATATCTTACTGCATGTACCCCTCCTAATCTTACTACATATGCCCCTCCTAATCTTACTGCATATGCCCTTCCTAATCTTACTGCATGTGCCCCTCCTAAACTTACTGCATATGCCCCTCCTAATCTTACTGCATTTGCCCCTCCTAATATTACTGCATGTGCCCCTCCTAATCTTTAACTACAATCCTAATATACAGTACATTTTCTTAAGGAAGCCAAATAGACATATCCAAACATATAGTCACCGTTACAATTCATTTATAACTTTGCTTTTTCTTTATTTAAGTTACGGCCCTTAGCCTATTACAAATGTTCAAGTCAGATTTAAGCCAGGTTTTGTACCTCTATTCAGAGCTGACAAAATAATACAACTGATGTTTGAAATGTGAAAAGATTCCATTCAAGAAAATTTGGGTGACAAATAATTTTACACAAAAACCTGCATTAACTCATGTGTACAGCTATCATAGATTTGATCACCCTCATTTCTATGCAAATGTTATGTTTAAGAACTTTTGAGTACAACAATTAAATCTTGCAAAGCAAATTCCAGGGCACCTATATATAAGCTGAATTTAAAAGTCTTGCTACTCAAAATTTTCTGATGACATTTATAATGCAGAGGAATCGTAACCAATACATATACGTCTTGAATTTACAGAATGTGATACACCGATACACCAAGCTTTATGCAAATCAGTCACAAATGTATAGTTCAAACCCTTTAGACTGAAATGCAAACTTTTTTTTAGCCATGCCTCTTTTGTAGCTTCAAAAGATAACATGAGTCCATGGACAGTTGGACTTATCTCTATTGTTTCATAACTTTAAGGTATTGTACATTATCTACTGAAAAAGACATTATTTCTGATTCTTAGTTTAATTGACTAGAAAAAAAATCCTTACAGTAATTTGATGATTTAAAAATAAACTTGTGTCTTACCTTGAAAACTCTGGTTAACCTTACAATGATTTTGTCAGGGAACCCTGCTGACTTATTATGCAGGAAGCATTAATGTACAAGGCAGATATAAACATATCAACATTCACAGGCGATGTTATCATAACATTAATTAATATGTCACAATTAATTACTAAATGTTTTGCTTTCAATTAATTTTGCCAAGGGAGATAACTACATGATTTTTCTTAACTTCTGTTATTTTTAGTTGTAATCCTTGGTTCCCAACTGAATCAACCATAACACCTATGACTCAGAGACTAATTGTAGTAAATATCATTGTTAAATTCTAAACACTTCAAAACTTATTTACTTTAATAATATTTCAAATGAGTTGGACCTGCTCAATGTAAAATGAAAAAAAAACCAAACAAATGAAAATTCACAACAGGGGAAAAATAAAAAAAAGATACCATGGAGATGTCATTCATCAATCAAAGTCATTTCCATTTAAAAAAAGTCAAATAACTTTGAACCCATTACTTTAGACTTTAATGTTTATAATTTTCCATCTGGAACTGATAATTTGTAAAACTAAAAAATTTCAGACCCCTGGTGACCATAGCAATTGTAAATTGTATCAAACACGTCTATACTGACTTGAATAAATTCTATGATTTTCCAATGAAATTGAATAAATTGATTCAGGAAACTTAATAGAAAAGCCCAATCCGTCTATTTGGCTTGATTTTACACGTAATAGCGCCATTTTATAGATATTTATGAGAAACTATAGCACTTTATAAAATTTATAGGAAACCTCAGACGCAGGTACTGGATCAATAGAGAATGAGTAATCCAAACTCTATTGAACGTATCCTTGATTTACAATCATCATATCAATTATTCCTACCCAACACCCAGCAGCCGTCAACCACTGACAAGATCCAACACGATTTCACATGGTTTTCTGTTCTAAAATGAACACTTTTATACCATCATATTGTAGAAAGTGTGTGATGGCTATAAATTATTCAGGACTGAATTTCCATTGGGAGCCTTTTCAGTTCTCCAATAAAAATACATAACTTTCAAAATGATTTTCAATAAAATAGATGATAGATTTTCAGATATTGTCAGAGATAAAACTTAAATATAATATTTTAAAATGATTTGATAACAGCAGTAAATGGAACATGAGAGAATATCCTAAAATGTACACTGTACAAACATTCTCAGTGAACATGGTAAAACAAAAAGCTGGCCTTGCTGTCTTATCAAACTTCAGCTCAATTATTCTTTCCATATGTTTGGTTTCTAATATTTTTTTTAACTTTGAGCATTAGTTTTGAATTTCTGTGTAAATTTTCTAAAATAATAAAAAAAAAAAAAAATAAGAATTTTCCATTGAGCAACCTCATATGCCATGTCTGAAAAAAAAACATAGCAAAAAGCTGCAACAAATGACCTTGAGGAAGTAAAGCTGAAATAGTAAACCTTAATAAATGGCAATCAGAAATGACACTGAACTTTTTATAACACCACATTATAATGCAGGGACATCAGATAAACCGACCGTGCAAGACCCTCATGGGTAGTCAAGGTCGTTAAAACCACCCTCATCATCATCAGATAAAACATTACCATGACCATGAACTACCCATAATTCATCTGGCTACTGGAGTAACTGGACATCCATTGTTGTCAACAGACAGACCGAACATTTATCAGATGATATCACAACATAATCAATCTATTACAAATAATTTCTGTATGCTCTTTTAGTTTTAATTAATTTACACAAAGGGGAATAACTGGATGATGGCATTTTCTAATCTTAGGATTCTGGCTCGCTGCTCAATTCAAAATATAATTGATCTGATGTTGATGGGTCTAATGTTTAAGCTTCCAATACTGAGTTTCTATATTAAAACCACCTAAAGTCTGTTAACGACTATCTGTATAAGTAATCTGTGAGATAATAAGCCGTGTCATTACCATTGTTTACATCACTCCCTTGGTAACAGAGATTAAACTATTTCAAAACATATCCAACTTATTTTTTTCTGCTAATTAACTTTTTTTCTTATATTTTCAAAGACGCTGATGTTTGCATCTTCTCAACTTTCCATATTTTTGTCGGATTTCATTGCGCATCAAGAAAAACAAAAGTAGTATAATTTAAAACCATTAAACTTAATATAACGGAAAACTTTCAAAGAGAGTATAAAAACAAAATATGAATATAAGTATATCTTTTTTTCTAAAAACAGGAGTTAGGTTTTAAATATACAGTTACCAAACTGCTACGACAAAGATTTCATCATGGTAAAATTTGACAAATAAAAAATTGAAAATAGAATTTTCCACTTAATTTCATGACTGAAAATTAAAATGTAATTGTTAATTTTGGAGACCTCTATTTTGTCAAGATATTGCATTTAAAGAATAATATATTAAGAGGTTATGATGATACAAGCTCTTGCTTATGTGTACACCAGCAAATATAGCGTAAAGTTACATCACACACAAAACTTTACTAAGCTGCTTTTACTTATTTCATACTTGAGTGTCCCTTACAAGCCATAATTTCTAAATCTAATTTATTTTTGCCAATCTAAAATTGGTTTAATTTTTCAATTACCAAAAGTACTTATGCTTTTATCTTTCTTTTAATGAAAAACACAAAAACACAAATACAAACGAAAATAAACAATGTTTTGGATAAATAATAATCTGGAAACACTTATGTTTTGTTGTTCAAGGAATTTCCATTAATTGTAAGTGTTTCATCCACAAGATGGTAAAATCATTCAACAAATTATCTCTTTCACTTCTCCTAAGAGGTTTCTGTCATTAACTCAACAGAATATGTTCATACCAGAAATTTTCATTTGTTTCAGAGTGATTTTTTGCTCAACATATATAATCACCTAAACTTTCACAGAAGTCATGCAAAAATAATTAGAGTTACTTCCCTTTCACCATAATCTACCATGTTCATGCCAGACAATTTTTTTTTCAATTTCATGCACATACTTTGCCACCATCTATTTATTACTTTTATTATATAGGATATATGATCTAGCTTTTCACCAAAAGTTATAGGGACTGGGCAACCCTAGGTAGGCCTATACATCAGAAACAATTCACTTCTGACATCACAATTTAATCAAGTTCCACTTTTCAAATTGGCAGGTGTCCTGTGTCCTCTCATGTCAGAAAGTGGACACAGGCATGACAGGACACCTGACATTGTGAGGATATCTATTTACTTGCAAGTGGTCAGTCAATGAAATTCTAATTCTATTAAGACCAATTTGAAGAAAAAAAATCAATAAGCTATTTTTAAAAAAAATATTCAATTAGGTTGAATGCATTAATGTAGAGCTAAAGGTTTGGTGACATCCGATGAAGGTTTCATATCTTACAATTCCTTAAAATTATCAATTATATTGAAAACGAACTGACCACTTGAAAGAAAATATATTTAAAGATGAACAATTCCTGGCTTATTCTGCTGTAAACTAAGCAAAAAATATATTCATATTTAATTTTTTTTAACTTCATACAAAATTAAGCCCTTAAACCAAGCAGGGTATACCAGATCATGTACCAGCTTTCCACCAAGGATATTTTGTAACAAAATTTACCGAACAGATCTGGGAACAGATTGCCTCCTTTTTGGCTGAAACTTTCTGTGATGTTGTCTAACAGAAGAATATCATAATCTCATTAATTGATAGTTTTCCAATAATGTAATTTGAGTTAAGAGTTATTTCCCTTTTCTGCATTCCGAGGGGCAAAATGAGCAAGTTCCAACACTAAATCAACAAAATTCACCTTGACATATTGACCACTTAACGTTAGAAAAGTTATTTTCTGAACATTTTACAAATCATCAGTACTATTTAGTAAGGTTCTTTTATCAGATTGGCTCATACCATATTTAAATTTTGTTAGTCAAATCAACCAGTTTGCCCTCCAACATGGCAGGGAAGGGAGATAACTCTAACTTTGATTATGTCACAGACTATCCATCTATCATCCAAATGGAACTAAATTTCAATCAATCATCCTTTAGCATAAACATTAAACACCATTATAAATAAATATTTACATAATTAACATACAGTAACATTTGTTTTGTCTAGCCCACATGGGAATCCTGATTTTAAATAGCTGTTAAGTGTGAAATATTATGTAAATAATTTTAGTTTTGTTTGAAATTTTTGATTGATAGTTTCTATAAACTTGATAACTTGTCTATTTTCACACTTTTAGTATTGTTTATTATTGATAAGGCAACTATTTTAATACATGTGTTCTTAACTAAACTACATCTTTATGATCTTGTATCAATTTTGCCTTTTACACCAGTTCACAGTGACCAACCTGCCCATGTCCACTAAAAACTCTTTTTTAACTTATTGATAAGAACTGCTAAGGCAAAACATATATTTTTTAGTGTCAGACAGTCTTCTCCATACCAACCTTAAAACATATGTTTTTTTTTGCTGAGTAAGTAAAGGTTAGGCAAAGTATTTTGTGTTGTTATGAACTGACCAAAATATTGTATGCTTGACAGAGATGGAGCAAAATATGGGTTTTACCAATTTCAAAATCAGATATTGAATTCACAACCCTTTTATGGCTTAATAACATGGCTAACACTAAAAATATCAAAACTTAAAGATTATTTTAAAGATTTCATTCTTATTGTTATTTTTTTAAGTTGTTGTGTGGTTATTGGTTACTTTTTTTCTTTTAACTTTAAGGTCAATTGAGGTCAAAGTTCAAAATTCAATAAAAGTAGAATACCTATCATCATCAATCATGCCGTTATTTTTCTGCATGGATTCTTTAACAGCTTGCATCCCTTCTCTGAACCTCTGTTGTAAACGTCTGGCATAAAGTGAAGCGCCACCTTCACTCATGTACCCACAATTCATTTCATCCACTTTGTTTTGACTTCCTTTAAGTATATCCCCATCTGACATATATCCAGATATGTAATCAAAGCTTTCATAATCAGAACTATAATCTCCATCAAATGAACTATTTAATCCACTAGATGGTGTTTTTCTTATCGGACCAGAATAAAATTTCCCATGATCCATTAGAGGACGATTCATACCTAACCGGCTTGTGCTAGCGAAGTAAGTTGCAGTAGGAGTAGCATAACCTGGATTGTGAAAGATTTTTCCTGGTGGAGTAGTGTACCCTCGTAAATATCCTGTCCCATATGGCATTGCTCTTAATATCGGCTGCATCGGCTTAATATCCATTGCTTCACCAGAATCGTCCACAAATGTTGTCTCTTTTTCAGAAAAAGTAGTCTCTTTTGAACTTTTTTCTTTGTCTTTATTCACAGTTTTTGTCCTGACTTCAGAATCAAATGTTGTTTCCACTTTTTCACCATGTCGTGGTTGAACGATTGCCACATTGTTTGCTGATTTATTTATTGGTTGTTGAGGCTGTAACACTTTCAATCCTAGCCTCGGTGAACTTGTAGCACTAATACTTCCAACATCAGAGCCTGAGTCTGACGGACGATATATCACACTTTCCGTTGACGAGTTACTATTATTACCACTAGGTCCGCTATGACTAGACGATGACGATGTGGAATCACTTTTATGGCCTGATATTGATGATTGTCCTGTCGGAGAACCGGGACTCTCGTTTTTAGCACCATGTGGCACAGAGTTATTACTATGATCTTTCATTGAGGGTGTGTTACTCCTAGGGGGCGGTTCTGTCTTTGGGAGAGGTGGAGGTAATGCACGGTTTATTATTCCTGATTGTGTATTGAGATCAGATATGCCAGTCATGGCATGCATTTGAGTATTAGCCACCGAACATGTTGGTTTTACAACATTGACTGTTTGTTGTAAGTTTCCTTCTTTATTCACTGAAGGCTTTTGAATACCACTCTGATATCCAGACATTTTGGAACTACTTTTAGAATATTGGCCATCACCAACTCGGTCTATTTTCCCGTCAGAATAGTCAATTTCTGTGTATCTACCTTTCATCTGTAACATCTTGTCTGAATCCTGCACACTTGTTTTTGAGTGGTCACTTATTGTTTCATAGTGTTGTTTTGAATGTGACCCTACTGATGGTGACCCATATGCACTTAATCCTGAATGTTTTGTTGATGGCACTCCTGACACTGATGGTGATGTAGCTGCAGACGACGACTGAGAATGACTTTTGGATTTCTCATCTTTACTACGAGATTTTCCTGGTTTTGGAATGCTTGTCGGTGTCCGTATACCTGTGCTCGTTGGCGTTGATGATGTGGATTTCGATGATTTAGATGCAGACTTTGATGGGATGAGAGTTCCAATTTTTGTCCCTTTTTGTCCTGATTTTAAATCTGTTTTACTTGATGATTTTTTAACTCCAGATCCATGATCAGAAGCAGATGATGAATAAAGTTTCTCATTCTGTGCCAAAGGCAACGTAGATGGGTGCTCCTTCTTGTTAACCGTTTTTCCAAGGGACTTAGTTTTTGGTGGAAGTTTGGGACTTTCTGATTCTGGTGAAAAACTTATAGCACCAGGATCAGTAGAACTTGAACTTCTTGCACTAGCAGTACTTGACCTGGTATCTGTACTGATTCTAGAATCCCTATCGCTACTCAAAGCTAAGGATGAGGAACTTGTGCTCGCAGTACTACCAGTACTTGTTTTTGAAGTGCTTTTAGGAACTCCACTTTTGCCCTTGGATTTGTCCTTGGAGTTGAAAAATTTAAATTTATCCAACATAGAGTTTTTATTTTGTGGTGCCGATTTCTGTGAAGTACTTTTGTTTGAAGCAGTTGAACTTGTTGAGGTCGTACTTCCTGTACTGACGACTCTTGGCTGTTTCTCTCCAGATGGTCTCGGTGTAGTCAAAGAGCGACCACCAGGAGTTGGAATACCAGATCCTGGAACAGCGGGTGATGTAGCTCGGGATGATGGATGACTGCTTTTAACAGTATTCAAAGAAGAACCTGAAAAAGAGTGAAGTACGTTTTAATGACTATGATAATTTGTCAACACTAAGTTTGTGAGTTGATATTTTGTCCACACTAAGTTTATGAGTTTGTACCCTGCGAAATTTGTTTTATTCCAATTGTAATAGAGAACGATTGCCAATTTTCCTGAAAATGGGTCGTGGTTCTCTCAGGGTACTCCTGCTTAATCATCTCTCAACCAATAAAAAATGGCCACCACGATACAGCCATAGTAGCTGAAAGTGGTGTTGCAAGTACGACAACAAAAAATCATGTATAATCAACAAAACCATTAGTCTTGTAAAATAAACAGCAGGTGGTGGATGAAACCAAAGAGATATAACCAACAATTTAATTTCAATTCATTTCCAAGAGAAAACCACCTCATCAGCACAAAAACTATATAAATAACTCTTCATTGGTCAGGTGATTTAGTCTCAACCAAATTCTACATATTTTCAGCACTCTAATCAACATAAAAGTTGGTCCCTTTAAATTTGTCAGTAAGATCAAATACATTTCTTATTCTTTAATCAAACATGCGAATATTTACTTAACTTTATTTCTCTTAACAGGTATTTAACCAAATGACATAGTAAATGATTTTTATTGAAAAGTACAATGAGGTCAACAGGTAAAAACTTATTAGTTTCCAGGTATGTAGTTAAATATTGTCTCAGGTAAAAAACAGACAACAAAGTTAATCTGTTTTGTCATTATGATTGTCTTTGTGCTATTTTAGTCTTCACAGGGAAGTACTTCTTTGCAGTGTTGTTTTTTCTTTTACTTTTCAACCATTATACATTTGTTATAAGGACATGCAGCGCTTTTCACATAAAATCTTACAAGTAAAAATACACATTTCAGTATAATTAAGGATCAATTTTAATCGTAAGATTTACAGAAATAAGAGTGTCAAATAATTTTTTTATAACAGCTGTCGTTGTTCAATGAAAATAAAAATTTAACCTTTTTTCAACAAAAATCTATCGAAAGTAATATCATATATGGTACTAAGTAACCATCCTATTTGCAAACCTTTGTGTATAAAATATTTTACATGTGTATAATTATCCTGGCAAAAGTTAGTGTATTAAATATTCTTGACAAACAGTACCCTTAAAAAATATTCATTTTGCCCAAATACCGGTATTGTTGAAATATTGGTAAATACAGAAAGCTTGTAGTCATTAATCGTTTTTCCCTGGTATATTTCTAATTGCTGGTTTCAAGTCATTTCAATCCTTTAGGTATAAATAATCTTGAGGTCTTAAAAACACCAAGCCAAAAACTCTACATCATTTCAAGTTTAAGGTGCTCATACAGTACTATCAGTTTCAAAGGCAGATTAAGGGGAAAAAGGAGGGGGGAAGGGGTGCCCAGGGCCCCTTATGGAGCTACATATATGGTTAATACATAGACTTTTACATGTTCCACACCAAAACATTGTTCCACTCCTTCCCCCCTCCTTTTAAAAATCCTGGACTGCATCTGAGTTTGAGGTGAAATCTATGCTAGATGCTGACCACACTGCCTACATGTGTTTATTGACAAACACAGCTGCAGGGACTATCAACAAATTAAAACTTATATGAGACAAATAAATCTTACAAATACAGTCATACATGTAAGTTGCCCAACAATCAATATCACTGTCAAATTCATTTCATGTATAAATAAATAGGGAATGTGTCCATGGGACACGGATGATGCCCCTGCTTGCATATAATGTTACAAAGGGACATAACTCAAGAACGGTAAAAGTGATGCTACCCAAATTCGTACTTGATCTGAGTTTTGTGGTAATAAGCATTGTGTATAAGTTTCATAACATTTTGTTGAGGCATACTTAAGTTAGAGAACGGAAACGAAAAATTCAGCAATTTTTCCATTTGTAAAGGGGCATAACTCTAGAACGGTAAAAGTGAAGCCACAAAAATTCAAACTTATCTGTGTTTTGTGGTAATAAGCATTGTGTATAAGTTACATAACAGTTGGTTGTGGACAGATGTACAAGGGTAAAACTTAATGCCCCCTCCGCTACAGCAGGGGCATAAAAAGGATATTCAATATATATATATATATATATATACATATTTTTACAAAATCTATATTAAAGATAGCAACACCCCTCTCCAACAATAAGTAAAGCTGTATAAAATTAAAGATAAATTTCTATTAACTATTTATACAAAAAGCAACAAATATTCTTTCTCCTTACCTCTATCATGCATGTTTGTTGAACCTATAAACATCCAACAGTTACGTTCAAAATAATGTCCTTAAACAATGTCTTTTAAAATCCAACAGTTACATTCAAAATGATGTTCTTAAACAATATCCCCAAAATTCCAACAGTTACGTTAAAAAATTATGTTCTTAAACAAAGTATCGTAAAAATCCAAGTTACATTCTTAAACAATGTCTCCTAAGGTGAACTGTAACATCCCCAAACCGTATCATATCATTTAAATATCATAATATGACTAAAATCCATACGATTAATCTTTTTTAATCTAGATGATAAAAATTTCACATTGTCGCATACAATTTTTACAGGACATTTGTTTCAAATTTCGAATTTTTCACCACATCAAAGGCCTGAATGCAGTATTATAATCCTTATAACTCGAATCCCTTTGGACAATATTACCAGCTGTGGTTTTTTTTTTAGAGACTAAGAAAATATTGTTTTTGATGTTTTGATGTGACAACAACAGGTGTGTCGTTTTTGGATCAGGTAAAACGCACAACTGAAGATGATATTTGGCGGGCTGTAAAGGATAAGTCATTAAACGTCTGCTTCTTTGTGAAGTTTGAACTATACCATCAGTCACAATGGCCATCAGACAAAACAAACAATGTCAACTTTCCATGTCTTTTGTCCGACCCCATGCTGTTTTTGTTTTTGTCCCAATTTTACTGTGTGGTCTTGGGTTTAAACAAATATACACGAACCTCGAAATCTCCGATAGTAAACAATTAAAGGTCGCCTAATGATCTGTGAAAACATAATTTAGGAAGTCATTTTGACAAAACATTGGTACCATTACAGCAATTAAATACTTCCACTAAACCACAAAGTGGTTAGAAAGTGATTTGAACCCCTTTTAAGTTGGCCCGCTTTATCAAGGGACTAGATTGGATCATAAATGTAATGATGCATGTTCTCCTTTGATTCAGCTATCTGATCTGACATGCAAACGTATAAAAAGTATGGATTCCGATTTGTCACGATATACATGGCACAGTAACCCATCAATACAAGTTTACCCAAAAATGAGAAATCTGCAGGTTACAATACAAATTTCAACAATTGTGAAGCACCACACATCATATCTAGATCTGAACCCCCTTCCTCCCCCTTCTGACTCCAGATAGAAACATTGTGAATATATCAATAACAATATTCACATTGTCACAAAATAGAAGTTCCTTCATAATATAAGTTCAAAATAGAAAAAAATATTCTGGAATAATATTTCCACAGGAATATGTATAACAGTATATGTTCCTAATGGAATAAATGGTATAGAATATTTGTTCCAACAGGAACAGATATTATGGCATTATTTATAACAAAGTTTCCACTGGATCTTCTGTTAGGCGGAACAAATATACATTGACAACATTACAAACTTCACTGGGATTAACAGAACAAATAAAATGTAAATTGTCGGAACAATATTATAAACTTTTAGTGGTCCAAATGTTGGATAAAACTTTTGAAATTTTCAGAAATATATAAATTGTAGATTTTTTAGTCAGAATTTTGATGGGACCCGTTTATAATAATTGTTCACTGGACCAAATGTCAAGCAGAATCAATCCGGCATCATTGCTAACTCAAAATAGAGTCAAATTATTTGTGACTGTCTAACTTTTAAATTCTGAAGTTTACTTACTCATAACAATACATGTATATCTCCATGTAGATCAAGTTCATCTAAACTTAAGTCACATACAACAGAACGGCACCAGATAAACTTGTATTAATTTACCACAAAAAATATATTCCCTTTAGGTAATACTGTATATTTATATACAATTAGAGATATTAAGTGTTTTACATTAAAATGAAAACAAACAAAAACTTACCTGAATGACCTTTGACCTAAGTTTTACCTGACATTCCAAAAACTCAAATCAATCAGTTAGAACAAGGAATTTACTTTGCTTAACACTGTCTGATAAAAGTTGAAATACCAAAGACATTCAATATGTAAATTCACAAGAGAAAATAGCAAGTTCCTCCATTTTTCTCTTAATTATGTACAAAATTGTAAACTAGTATTTTATTTCAAAATAATTGATCATTGCATAATTTTGATTTCACCTTAGAAACTCTGATAAAAGAAAAACAGCTTTAAAATATTGCATGGACTTTTGGACTGGAACTTAATGGACGATTGCCAGAAAGTTATTACTTAAAGTTTATACTATGAAACAAAATTTATTGTTTGATTGATTGATAACACGTCACTATGAAACAATTAACCCTAGCTGGGGTATACTCTAAACAAAACTTTCTGTTTCAACCACGAAAAAGTACCAATATGGGTTATAAACTCCATAACAAAACATTTGTTGTTATAAAAATGGAAAATTTCTACACATTTTAAAAAGAGAAGTAGATTTTTCTGAAATAATTTTAGTTGATCTTGCAATTTGAGAATCAAAAAGTTTCAAGGGCTAGGCATTGCCAAATGATAGATTTATGTATATCAAAGTGACAGCATCCAAACTACAAAGCATCAAGACATTAAAAGGGCTAACCCGAATAATTCAGTCGTTATATTCCACTGCTCTACGATGGCTACATTAACGCCTGAAGGCCTAGTCAATGAAAAATCATCAAAAAATCATTCGGAATTAGCTCGTGATTTACCTATCTTGATAACATTTAGCTATTAGCTGATTGGCTCTCTCTCACAGAGAGCACCAATCAAAATCCTGGATTCGTGACGCGTTTTTATCGTATAAAGAGTTCAGGCCCT